TTCTTGCAGTTCTGCAACTGCTTCAAACAGCTGTGTCTGAAGAGAAGTAAACACAGAGAGGATCTCTTTTGACGATGAAGGGAAGGAATCTTGTGGAACCGGCGTTGCAGAAGGCAGAAATGAAGGGAAAGAGCCTCGAAAAGCACTAAGCCAATGGGACCGGTTAGGTGAGACTTCAAAGAGTCTTGAAGCAAGAGATGCCATTTGAATGAGAAGAGATTGAGCTCTGGAGAGAGGTGGGAGCAGAGGAAGGAGCATCGATGAGGTGGTACTAGTAGTTAATATATTTGCCTGTTGAAGGGGTTGATTAGGTTGCGACACTTGTGATGAGAACTTAGGAGGAGGGTTTGGGTTCTGAACAGAAGGTGAACTGGGAGTTGGCAGGCCAAGCCGGGCCGGCGATTGCAAAAGTTGATGCGGAACATTCTGTAGCATCTTCGGAACGCCGGGCGGAATACTAGAAAAGGCAAAAAAGATATGTTAATGAACAACTTTAGCAATGAAACACATCGTAATAAACTACAGCAAGAACAACATCCTTTGCCATCCCACCAAGAGAGAGGAGGAGAGGAAGGGGGAGGGGGAGCAAACACATAAGCTCTCACACATATGAAAGAGCAGAAAAGACTTCCAAAATTCAAACTTTTAAGTTAATCTATTAAATAACAACAACAAAAATTTAATCCATTAAACATGTAAAATAGTTCATTTATTGAGTATATGAATGATTCAATTAGCCTGAAACAATACTTTTAGGACCATGCAATCATTTCCTTATTTCACCAAAAACAAGCATTCTTGGGGAAACTAACAATATAAGCTTTGTATCAGTATGCAGCATCAAAGCAAATTGTACATACTTCATCCATGTGTTATAAGAAAAAAACGGCTACTAGTCACAAGATAAAAAAGACCGAGCAGGGCAGCAGNGGGATGTGCCAGAAATGAGGTTAAATTACAGTGGCCTGGTAGAATAATAGTTCATTTGATTTCAACTGATTATGAAACATTTAGGTTGTCTATTGCCTCGTTATAAATGCCTCCCGTCCATCTGGCTTCTTACATAAGTAGGGAGAACAAGGATTTGTCTAAACGCTTAAGTAGGGCAAAAATCCCTCAATTCAGTTTCATCATTTCTACCCTCATACCCTTATGAATAGAAAGATGTTTAGATGAAGACCAAATAACCAGATACCCAGGGAGTAAACACTAAACTACAGGGCCATGTCAAGTGGATAGAACCTACCAAAGTACACTCGTTATAATTTATAAATAATAAAAATAGAAACTTACCAAAGTACACTTTTTTTTTATAAAGTAACTGATTTCAATAGATGGCATCAAGAAGATGCAAGAAGTACATGATTTGGCATTTGAGCTTACAAAAAATATTCCGGCTCCTATACATAATTGGCTAAGCCAGAGCTAAGGAACTAATGAAATCCAAAAGATGATCAATATTGTTGATAGGGTACAGTCTAGACCAGTAAAACAAATTATTAAACTCTAACAGAACATCCTAAACGAAAACACTAAAACAAAATAAATATGTAATCTATTTTCAACCTTCTGCCTTGACACAATAAAAGTACCAAAAAATCATGACGATGGAAAGTTTTTAACTGGTACAGCTATTGCACAATCCTAATACNCCCCCCCCTCTATTTTCTCCCTCGCCACTGTTTGAATTTTTCGGCCAAGTATTTTTTGTTATTAGGAACGACAAGATTAAGAAGAGACTTAGATCTTTGTCCTGCTACTATCTTCCAGCTAACCGAAACTTGATTTCAGAATAATAACCACAATAGTTAGTCACAGTTTTGCAGCTCAAAGATCAAAATGGGCCTGTTTTGTAATTATCCACTTGTGGATGACTATTCTCCACGCGAAGAGACCAAATTTCATAAGATGGAAGAAACATGCATGTTCCCTAAGGTAGGTAAGTCGATTACTGTGGAATTGTAAATTCTTGAAATATATAATACTCCATCAGTCCAATTTAAGAGACAAATCTCCCTTTTGAGATGTTCCAAAGTGTTTGACGCCATTACATTTCTATATAATTTTCACAAATAACAAGAACTCAAATTCAACAAGCTACTAGCTAATTCTTGATCATTTCACCAAAATACTTTAATACAATATTCTTTTTATATCACTGATATAATACATAAGTAAAATAAAATATATTAAACTCCGTCTGCAGACAAACACTATCGATAAATGGGACCGAGGGCATACCATAGCATCCTAAGGAGCTCGGAAGTGCATGGGGAAACTATGCAGTATGGAGTCACCCCGATGTTCTATGGCTAGATCACATGCTAATAGTCAACTTGGTGGCCATAAAGGGATGGAGAAAGAGCAAGGAAAAAGAAGCTCCAGGATTACAACAATCACGTAGTCATGAAGATAGCAGGAACTACAACATCTTGCGAATTCTAAGTTCATGCGATTGCACAGGAAGTACAGCAGCTTGTGCTTAGTTCATGCTAGGTTCATGGGATCGCGTGGGACTTACTGCAGCTATTATTTTCGGGTCTATTTGGTCTTTTCCCAATTTTAGCCCTATCATAAATATAACTATTAGACTCGTTCTTCAGAACTTTTGATGAGAACTGATACTTTCAGTTTGACACTTCTAAGCATAGGATTGATCTCAAGTTCACAGTCTTGAACTTCAACTTGAATCTTTTTAGGGCAAGGTTTCTTGCACGAGTCTATCTCTTTTCCCTCCTGTTATTTTCTTTCTCCAGATTGATAATATCTGTCTTCTTTCCAATCGTATCTTGTTTGGAATATAAATGACACAGAAATTATGGATTAAACTGAATTAGCTTAATTGAGATCAGGGGCGGAGCCAGAATTTGAAGTTTATGGGTTCGGGAATCTAATATGTTTAAGTTACTGGGTTCTATATTAATAAATTGTACATATTCGATAAATTTCTTAAGACAAATATATAGTTTGAACAAAAGTTATTGGGTCCGACTGAACCCGTAGGTCGCGTTCTAGCTCCACCCCTGATTGAGATGGTACCAAAAATGGCAGGAAAGTTTGTGAAGAAGTTAGTTGGCATGTTTCTTTCTTTTTAGCTTAATTTCCAAGTTCATTTTTTCTCTCTCAATTTCAGCTCACTATACGTGATCTGAGGCTCAGTTAGAAGTATAAAGCTATGAGCAATAACATTTTATGGCATTATTATGAAAGTGGATACAATTTGCCCCTTTCTCTTTTTTGTCTCTCTAATTCTTCTTCTCGATGCCAATTTTTCACATCAATTAATTGGTAGTTCTTTAATATTTGTTTGAATTTACTTATTATATTCTCTCTCTTATACTTCCTTAGTATTCTATTGCATATTTGGTTTGTTTCTGCTAATCACAACCCTATCAATATACCACCTGAGAAACACAATAAAACAGCTGAAAACTCCTCAATTCAAAAGGAAAAAGAAAAAGAAAAAGAAAGAACCATTTCTTTACCATATCAGTTATCATTTGCTCAAACAAATACTAGTAACTACTGAAACTATGAGAATAATTAATAAAATGACCAAACAATGTCACGAGAACTAAATAAGGATGCAAATAGAGTACAAAAGGACGATCTTTTAATAAATACTCGAAACAATTTCTGCAAAATTCTCAGTATTTACTTACAATATATAGGGTTGTGAATAGAATAAACGGAACATACGAGAGAGAAGAAGAAGAAGAAGAAACCTGGGTGTGAGATTTAACGGAAACGGGCGACCCGGGAGGGGAGGATTCAGAATTGGGAAATTGCGAGGGTTTACGATTAGGAGAGAAGCAAATTGGGGGGAATATTTTCCCCGCGTTATTTTAATCGATTTTGCGGTTCCGTAACTGTTATGAACGAGATTGGCCAAAAGACTAAGATAAAGGGCCTGTTTGAAATATTTGAAAACTTTGTGTGGGACCCAGGTAAAGGGAGAGCCGTCGAGCTATGAAAAAGAGGTGCTGCACAAGGGATATGCTAATTATGCTAAAGCTTCGGCTCAAGTCTATGCTTCTCATCTCCTCTTCTAAATCGGTATTTTATCCCCTTTCTTCTTAGCTTACTACTGCAGTTTTTTTTCTCATCTCGTCTCTATTTCCTTCAGTGCTGTTTTCTATTGTTCTACGAACATTTGGTTATTATAATTCCATTTGGTGAGTTAATACTAATGTTTTAAAAGGCGGGGGCCTGAAGCGAGGCATTTTACTTCTGACAAGGCGAAGCATAAGCCCTGGAACATGGGGCGTAAGTCCCACGGATCTTTAAAACTTATAATTTTAAGAATTTTAAAATAGTATAAAATAAAAATAATTATAAAATTACATTAAAATCACAAAATTATAACAAATAACATATTTACAATATTTATAAAGTATAATTCAACTATGAATAATACGAAAAGTATGACGTATATCATAATATGCAAATTAGTTGCAACGTCATTACAACTCAAACATCAAATTATAAGTAATGTATTCGATACGAAATCTTATATGTATCATCTCTTAAGGAGTAATGAATCTGGTAAGAATTTTGATATTATAATTTAATATTTTTCTTAAAATACTCCTTTTATTTAATATGCTTTCTATTTGAAAGAGAATTTATATAAGAATATATTTCACAATTTCAATATGATTCTCTAGCATCATTTATTTTTAAGTTTCAACAAGTTAATAAAGTGACACATAATTCACCATACAATACCATGATAACTAATTATTTGTAAATAGTTACTAGCTAATACTAAGCTATTAAATTAATAAGTATTGTATCTCGTAAATGTAAAAAAAAATTAGAAAAATAATTATTACAAAATTATGGACTATTATATAGAAAATATAACAAACGTTAATAAATAAATACTTTTTAAATAAAAGATTTATTTAAAATTAACTATCACGGCAGTCTTAGTGGATAACGTGCAATAATTTTTATTTTAATTATGACATAAAATACTCTCAACTTAATGATTTGTGATTAAGAAAAAAGTAATTTTGAATGGTCAACGATTTATTAAGAAAATTTGAGGATTACAAGGTTAGTTACATACAAGTGTATAAAGTTCTATTAGGCGAGCCCAGTACAGGCATTGGACGTGTCCGGATGACCGAGGCGTAAGTCTAACGGAACTAAGCCCCACACATAAGCCTAGGAGCATTTTACGAGTGTTCCGCCCCGGGGCGAGTCCCAATTTTGCCTTTTAAAACATAAGTTAATATAATCAGTTGATTTGGGTGTAATATCTGGTTTGTTACATTGGTGCTTTCCAAGGGAGGCTCTAGGGTAAGGCAGGCGAAACCCTTGCCTTAGGCCCCCCAAATATTTAAGGCCCCAAAAATATATAATTTATAATCATATATTAGTTAATAAAAAATTTCAAATTTTATATTCTTAAAAATTTGGTCGAGATA